GTCCCCGAAACGGTGAGCCTGGGGTATGACGCCTACAGGGGAATCACGTTCAAGCCGGAGTCGACCCTGTGGCGACAGGGCGGGGGCGACTTCCGGGTCGAGTTCTTCCCCACGGGCTTCCTCTATCAGACGCCCGTCAAGCTGAACGTCATCGCGCGAACCGATGGCGCCGTCACTGCTCTCACTTCATCTCCGGATATGTTCGATTTCGGCGCCGGACGAACGCCGGCCAATGTCGGATTTGCCGGCTTCAAGCTTACCTATCCGTTGAACGGTCAGCGCTTCGACGAGATCATCTCCTTTCTGGGCGCCAGCTATTTCCGGCCCATCGGCAAGGGCCAGGCTTATGGTGCGTCGGCACGCGGCCTGGCGATCGACACCGCCCAGGCGCGCTCCGAGGAATTTCCCGAGTTCCGGGAGTTCTGGCTGGTCGAGCCGGCCCCGGGAGACCGATCGGTGACGCTCTATGCGATCCTGGAGTCGCCGGGTGCCAGCGGTGCCTATTCCTTCGTGGTGACGCCGGGGCCGCGCACGACGGTCGATGTCGATGCCAGACTGTTCCTGCGCCATGGCGTGTCGATGCTGGGCATCGCGCCGCTCACCAGCATGTTCCTGTCCGGCAAAGCCGGACCCTGGCGGGACGATTTCCGCCCCGAGGTCCACGATTCCGATGGTCTCGCGATGCTGACGGGCAGCGGCGAACCCATCTGGCGTCCTCTCGGAAATCCGGGAGCACTGCAGGTCTCCACCTTCGTCGACAACAATCCGCGCGGTTTTGGCCTCCTGCAGCGGGAGCGACGCTTCGACCGGTATCAGGACGGCGTAGCCAAGTATCAGGCGCGGCCCAGTCTCTGGGTCGAGCCGAAAGGCGACTGGGGAGAGGGTGAAGTCCGGCTGGTCGAGATTCCCACGCCCGTCGGAATATCACGACAACATCGTGGCCGTTCTGGGTGTCGCGCTGGCCGCTCTCGAAGGGTCAGGCCCTCGAATACCGCTATCGCCTGTCCGCTCTTGCCGACGACTCGGCTTTGTTTCCTTTGGCGCGCGTCGTCGCCACCCGCCAGGCGCCGATCGACGGCAATTCGAAAGCCCGGCGTCTGGTTGTCGAGTTCGA